TCATGGGGCAGAGATGATGACATGGACATCAGGAGGATAGATAAATGGGCTCAGTCCTCCCGGGGAGACCACCTGAAGACTCCATCTTGGAGACCTCTATGAAAATAGCAGTCCCACCAAAGGAATCACAGGAAGGCAAGGTAGGACACAGGAATTCCACAAAAGAGACCTGCAGCTTGGAGTCAGGGCTGAAAGGGCCTGGGGACTGACAACAGGCTCTCCTGGCCTTGATGTCCCTAAACCTCTGGCGGACAGCTCTCCCTCTGAGGACAGCAGGTCAGAGCTAGCATGAAGCACAGTCAGAATTCTACATTGCTATCAACTCACAACAGGTGCCTACGGCATGGGACATGGTTATCACCTCCCTAAGAGCTCAGAGAGTTGAAATTCCTCATCATCGTAATAAAAAGTATGTCTTGGTCCTCTCCAAGAAAAGATGAAGCTGGCACTACAGACAGCCTAGGGGAGAGCTCACTGGATTATCAGGTAAGCTCTAGCAGGTCCGGGATGTTGGTTAAAATAAATTACAAAGACAACACACAAGGCTATGGACTATGTCTTTGATGAACTTGAATTGTGGCGGTGTCGGCAAAGAATATTGACAATACCACGGACTGCCAGAAGCATGAAGAGAACTATCTTGAGAGAAGATCCTCCAGAATGCTCCTCGGAAGCTAGGATGGCGACACTTTATGTCACATATTTGGGGCCTGTTATCAAGAGGGACCCATCCCTAGAGAAGGACACCATGCTTGGTAAAGAAGAGGATCAGTGAAAAAGAGGAAGACCGCCAGCAAGATGGATGGACACCACGGTTTTAACAAGAGGCTCGCACATGACAACAATTGTGAGGGTGGCAGTGTTTTGTTCTGTTGTACACCAGGTCCCCACTCAACAACTCCTGACAACAACAACACAGACCTTGTGGGGGAGAAGTGAGCAAGGACTCTTGGAATCAGCGTGCGCTACATGGAGATCAAGGCCAGCAATGGCATATGGGAAATGTGTTCTCTCTGCACTTTTCCATGCACATAGTGGGAGAGGGGGTTGGTGATGGGGTGGAGAGAGACAGGGCACATCTGCTGGGGACACTGCCTAAATGGCTGGCTGCAGATGCCCAAAGAGAGGAAGACTCGCCAACAGTGGATTTGTACCAGTCACCCAGCCATACCTCTCTGGTCCTGGGAAGGAGAAGAGGGTGAAGGGACAGGGAGGAAGCCCTGGAGTAGACCCCCAGCCTCTAGGTACATAGTGAGGGCCATCAGGACTCCCCTGAGCAGCAGGAGCCGGATGTGTGCCCCCACGAACTCATGAGGTCCTCACACTGTGGCCCTAAGATAGCTTTGCTCATCGTCCTTTCATAACAGGGGAACCTGAAGCCAGTCTGCTCTGAGCTTTAACCCACCCCTTCGGCTCTGCTTTGCCTTTCATTCTCTCCTTCTGGCAATGAAGAAAAGAACTGAATCCTGCAAAATTACCCATGCCTAGCCCCTGCAGGCCAGGGCATCCTTCCAACAGCAGACATCTGGGATGAAGCAGGGACCATCAGAGGCGACACGAGAGACTTCAGAAAAGGCAATCTCATCTTTCCCAGTCCACATCTTGTCCCAGGAGTGAGCCAGGTGACTTTTCTGAAGCAAGGTAACGTCTGGGCCGATCGATGCGGCTAGTCTTCAGGGCAGTATCCCATTACCTGCTGAGCCTCAGATAGGATTCTCAGGCTGGGCATGGAGCCATGGGGTGGAAGGCAGGAGGGGCTGGCCTGTCCAGCTTGGTGTGTATATGGTGGGGGGCGTTCCAGGCCCAGAACCAGAGACAGCTGTGTGGGGTCAGAGACAGGCCTGGAATGCAGGCTGGACTTGGTCATCCCCTGGGGCAGGCTCAGGGAAATGTCTTGGAAGTAAAGGTCAAGACTGGTGTCCAGTAATGTCCAGGGCTGCTGAGGCTGCCACTGCCATTAGAAACAGGCAGCCTGAGGGCAACAGGAGCTGGAGAGGTGGGGTCTTCATACCTCTGGGCTGACAGGTGAGTGCCTCACCACAATGGACGGTGAGTAATAGTTTCGAGGGCTTGAATTACACGAGCATTTCTTAAGCGCATTCTGTCTGCAACCCACCTGTGACTTGGCTGGTACAAACAGGCCATTCAGCACCTGAGCCACCTGGTTACAGAGGTTCTCTCCTCATCAGCTTCATGCCCCCTCTTTCTCTCTTACAGTGCCCCTCCCCCCCCACTTCCCCTCTCTCCCTCACTCCTTTCTCTGATGGAACAGTTGGTGGGTTTGAACTGCTGACCTTCTGGTTAATAGCTGAGCGTTTACCCATCATGCCACCAGGGCTCCTTAAAACGACCACTTAGGTACTATCAGGTGGGCTCTGATGCATAGTGACCATGTGTCCAACAGAATGAAACACTGACTGGTTCTACGTCATCCTCAGGACCATCCCTAGGACCTAGCAATTTTACTCCTAGCTGTATACGCAAAAGACTTCCAAGCATGAACTCCATGCTCAAGAATGCCATCGCAGCATAATTCATAGTAACCCAAAGGTGGACACCACCCCCCCAATGTTTTAATCATCAATGATCAACACATTTTAGTACTCTGGGTTAATGTGCTAGACTGCAAAGTCAGTTTGAAATGCAAGTTTGGCGGTTCAAGCTCACCAGTCCTTGGAAACCCTACACAGGGTCTCTGTGGGTCGGAATCGACTTCACAGCACTTAACAACAACAGCATTATGTATATAAGGAGTCCTGGTGTGGTACTGTGGGTTAATATGCTAGAATGCAAGGTCGGTTTGAAGTGCCAAGTTAGTGGTTCAAGTTTACAAGCCACTCCTAGGGTCGCTATGAGTCAGAACCGACTGGACTGCGCTTAACAACAACAACAATATCTATACAATGGAGTATTATCCAACCATAAAAATGAATGAAGAACTAATACAAGTTACAAGGATGAACCTTGAAAGTATTATGCTGAATGAAAGAAACGAGACACAAAAGATCAAAATGCATGTGGCCATCATTGTCTGACTCAACTTACATGACATGTCTAGGAGAGAAAGCAGATTGAAGGTTGCTTGGGGCTAGGGGAGACTGGAAGAAGTTGCTTCATGGAACAGGTTTCCTCTTGAGAGGATGAGAACATGTTGGAATTAGACAGAGGTCACGTTTACACAGCATTGTGAATGTACACTGAATTGTTCACTTCAATACGGTTCATTTTATTTTATGTGAATTTCACCTCAAAGAAAAATTATAAAAGACAGGCATGGAAAAGAATGAAAAGTTATTGACAATTGTATTTACAAAATTTTAGATGGGCTAGGGACACACCCCTCTTGCCCCACCTTTGTGGTCATTGTCCACTCACTCTGGGATGGAGGAGTGGGCAGGGAGCCTGGCCTCTGGTTCTTCCGGGGAAGCTGGGTATTACCACCAATGTCAGCACAGCCTCTGATATGAATGTCTGGGCTCATGGGACCCCTCATAAAATCAGGAGACTCAAGAGTTACAGAGAGAAGCACCCTGACCTGGCCCAACACGTAGGACTTTGATAATGCCCTTCGTTATACCTCTATCCTCACTCTGGACTCCTGGGCTGGCGCTGTAGGATCAGCACTGGACTGCAAACCACAAGGTCAGCAGTTCAAACCCACCAGTTGCTCCTTGGAAACCCTATACAGGGTCACTGTGAGTGGGAACTGACTCAATGGTACTTCACAACAACAACAATCCTCACTCCACCAGCCTGAGCAGGCACTGTGCTGTCTTTTAAAACATAAGGACATTAAGATCCCAACAGAGTTACTTGCCTAAAGCCCCAGAGGTTTCCATTCTAGTCCCTCCTGGCTGCTCCTGTGACAGTTCCTTGGACAAGGAACATCACCTGCTCCCCGCCCCCCACCTCAGCAGCAACATCTTCACCAACTCTGCACTGGGTACTGGGCCCAGAGTGCTGTGCTGCTGAGCTCTGCTTCCTGAAAGCTGATGCTTACTAAAGGCTGGCAGAGACATGGACACTGGTGGATAAGATATGCCAGCTCAGAAAAGACATGGTGCCAGGTGAGGAGGTTGAGGGCATCGGCAGGGATACCTACCAGTCAGAGGAAGGCAATTCTAGGCGAGGAACCCCAGTAAGGATGCAGTTACAGGAGAACCATCTGGAAGCTCATTGGGGATCATTGAAAGTTCCGGGAGGTAGTGCACCCATGATCTCTTGCTCCTTCCCCAATCTTATCTGGCTTCACACCCCTCCCGCAACTTTCCATGTGCACAGCACTCTCAGCCCATAGGGCACATGCACTCACATGGTCTCACTCTGCTCCCCGATGCTCCCGCATGTCTGGGATGGTGGCCTAGGCTCCTTGTACCACTCCTTCATTACCAGCAGACCACCTGTCCCCACTGCAGTGCCCCTACCTTCTCCCTACTTAGAAGACTAAAGTGAAGCCAGAACATAGTGAGTGTCTAGCCCCTGGAACTGGACTGCAGGTCCAGTGACCCCAGACCTAGGGCTTCCGTCAGCCAGTGGGGATCTTGGCAGCAGAGGGAAGGGGCTTGGTTCTAACACTTGAAATGCACACCTCAAGGGTCACATAGATGTGTATGGAGGTAAAATGGACAGAGATTGAGTCTCTTGCAGCCCCTGGGGGTGAAGTCCAAGGCGTTTGTCCTGGGGGGGTTAGTCCCAGAAAGTGTCTACCATCGGTTAAGTCCAGGACTGAATTTTCCCTGGACCTCCAGTGTAGACAGATCCAACGTGTCATCCGCATCCTAATCCATCACCTCTCTCAGATTCCCATCTCCTGGTATTTTTTTAATGGGAATTTGGCAACTTACAGAGAAGTCATAAAGAACAAGAGAAGGGAGATCCCTTTACAGATCACAGAGGGAGGGAAGAGTAAGGGAAGACAGGTAGAGAGGAGAGATCAAAGGGAAGGGATGGAGGTGGCGGTTGAGAAGAGGCAGTGTGTTGCATGTGTGCGCAATACTCACGTGTTGTGGAGCACACACCAGCCACAGTGAGGATCGCCGGAGCCCAGGCACTCACTGCAGCTCTTGTATTGACTGCAGGACTCCACGGGGACTCTGGTCAGCTAGGACAGGGCGACAAGGGAGAGAGTATTCAGGGCTTTGCGGAACACCCAGGAATTCACCAGAAAGCAATACTGTTTTAGTCATCTAGGGCTGCTTTATGGGGAACGCCCCAAGTGGGGGCTCTAACAAATGTGATTTATTCTCTTATAGTTCAGGAAGTTAGCAGTCAAGATTCGGCGTGCGAGCTCTAGGGGAAGGGTCTTTCTGATTACTCCAGGAGAAGCCCTTGTCTCAGCTTCTATACCCCCAGCATGTCTAGGTGCCTTGCTGGGATCTTTTTTCCCTCCATTTGTGCTTATCCCTCTCTGTCTCTAACCTACTGGTTTTAGATCCCAAATGTCATCAGATTCAAGATACTTCTACAATACCACGATCTCATTAATATGTCAATATTGAGTAGACCATAGATTGCCAGAAGAATGAACAAATGTAAATTGGAAAAATACTGTCAGTGTACTCCTTGGAAGCCAAGATGGCAAGACTTCATCTTACGCACTTTGGACAGCCCCTGGAGAAGAATACCACAGTTGATAAAGTAGAGGGTTGGGAAAAAGAAGAAGACCCCCTTCCCCTAATGAGATGGACTGACACAGTGGTTCCAAGAATGGGCTCAAACCTAGCAACTCCAGTGAGGATGATGCAGGACTGGGTTGTGCATCTTTTTGATGTTTAAAAAAATCACTGAGAGTTGCAGCCAACCTTACGGCAGCTAACAGTAACAAAACCATAAAAAAGAGAATCTTATTCCCCAAAGGGGTCACATCCACAAATAAGCCGCCATTCAGTCCATTCCAACTCAAAGGGATCCTGTAGAGAACCTGCTAGTGGGTTTGAACCGCTACTGACCTTGCGGTGAGTATTCCAGTGTTTATCCTACAGAATTACACCAGGACTCCAACCACAGATACAGGAATTTATAGTTTGGAATATATTATTTCAAGCCATAACAAATAGTATTCTAAATATCATCTAAAACAATACAGGAGCAGGAAGATGCTGAAAGCCTCAGAACCCACTGGCAATCCTATTTGAGCAGACAGATATATATGAAACCTGGGGTCATGATCATTTTGCTTAGGAGTCTGGGGCTACAGACCATAGATTTCATACTCAGTTGTTCCATACATTTTGTTTATAGTGTGCATTGAAATGTTCCCAGCACCCACAGCCCAAAATATCTCTACAGGCATCCAGTGAGTCACACATTTGCTTCTTACAATGAATTCAGGGGCTCATTGGCCCCCAGACCTTGTTTTTCTTTTGTCTTAAGGGATTTTGCTTTCTTCCCAGCCTCCATCATTCTTGCTCTTCCAGTGAGCACTCAACTCAAGCCCCTTTGCTTTCTTTCGCGCTGTGCCTTTTCACAAGGTGTCACACACAACTCACTTTGAAGCTGTGACCTGCCCACTCTTTTCTCTCGCATAAAGGTGGCAAACGGACTCTGGAAGGTTTGCACTATGATGCTTTCAAAGAGCAGCTGTTGCTATTTCCCTCCTACCCACACTCTTTAAACGAACATAGGCTTCCTCACCAACCCCGAACTTTATATTAGCTTTCACCAGCTGCTTGTTAATGTAAAATGTTCTGCATGACATTTCGGCTTAGTCCAAATGCTTCCATTTCCTGCTTGCTCTTAAAGCTCTTTTCTGTGTGCTGTCCTCCCCTGAATCCATTCCTATCTGTGGGGACAGCTTATCCCTGGCAACTCTTTACATGATTCCCCAACTCCGTGCCTTAACTAACAGTTACCCTTGAGTTGATTCTGACTCATGGAGACCCTACGTTTCAGAGTCGAACTGTACTCCACAGGGTTACCATGGCTGTGACTTTTTTGGAAGCAAATCGTCAAGTCATTCTTCCTTACTGCCTCTGGGTGGGTTTGAACCTGCAATCTTTTGGTCAGCAGCCAAGCAAGTGCTTAGCTGTCTGTGCCACTCAAGATACAGCCAAACCAAACCCACTACCACTGAGTGACTGACTCACAGTGACTCTGTCGGGCAGAGGGGCAATGCCCTCAAGGGTTTCCAAGGCTGTCTGTCATTATAGTAGTCCACAGCCACAGCTAGCTCCCACTGAGTGGCTGGCTGGCTTGAACCACTTTTGTCTATCAGCAGAGTGCTTTAAGTACTGTATTACTAGGAGTCTTTTTTGTTGTTGTTAAGTGCCGTTGAGTCGATTCCGACCCATAGCAACCCTATATAGGGTTTCCAAGGAGCATCTGGTAAACTTGAACCACTGACCTTGCAGTTCAAACGACTTTTCAGTCTCATGCATTAACCCACAGCACTACGGTTTCCAAGGAGCAGCTGGTGAGCTTGAACCACGGATCTTGCAGTTCAAATGGCTTTGCAGTCTGGCACATTAACCCACAGCACCACACCAGGACTCCTTTAGTAGGTACTTACTAACTCTGAAAGCGTAGTGGTTTCGAATCAGGCTGCAAACCTCAAGGTTGGCAGTTCGAAACTACCAGCCATTCGTGGGAGAAAGATGAGGCTTACTGCTCTCGTAAAGACTTACAGCCTCGGAAACCCTGTACAGGGTTGCTATGAGTCGGAACCTACTCCACGGCACACAGCCACCACCACCAATAACAATACAGCATTGTAAGCCAGGCATTCAGCTGCTAACAGCAAGGTTGGTGGTTCAAACCCACCAGCCGTTCTGCAGGAGAAAGATGCCACTGTCTGCTCCCATAAAGATTTAGTCTTGAAAACTCATAAAATCAGAATCAAATCAATGGCTGTGTGTGGGATCAATCTAAACTTTGGTTCCTTTTGATAGCCTTTGAGAGCAATTTTTTTTTTTTTTTTTACAAAAAGGTGTTTTTTGCTCATTTATTTTTGTTTCTTAAAATCACCTTTGTCCAGTTGGAACATTGTTCTGATTCACTGGAAGACTGGATTCCTACCTCTTTAACTTGAACAAGGAGAATTAGCGGTGGTCCTTTTCAATTTCTCTCCATAAGACAACAGACATGAAGAAACTCTAAGGCGCGCTGACCTGACCCACTTCACTTTTCCCTAAGAAAACGCAGAGGCTGAGTTTCCCCTGCAGTTCCTGTGAAAAGATGCATTACTTGGCAAAGGCCGGCTTGCCACTCCTGCGCAGACAGACTGCCACCAGCCTGTCCATACGCCTCACAAGTCTCTCTTGGAATTCATTAATGATAAACAATCACTACTTGTGAATTCCACACAGTCTCTTTGCCCTTTCTATTTTAATTTTCTTTTAGATTTTTGTTCTCCAAAGTCCACACTGAGCCTTCTTAACAACCAAACTGAGTTTTGATTCTTCCCAGTCATCTTTAGCCTCCTTCTTACAGCTCTGGCCTTGGCCTCGGTGGCCCTTCCTCTACCTTCTCAGGTGTCTTTTTGGGCAGATCTGGAATTTCAACTTTCCTTTAATCACTAAGTATGTAATCTGCATAGGCCAGGCCTGGGCTCTGCCTATGTATAACCTTTCTTATTAATTATCATTTTTTATAATTAATCATGATGTGTAGTTCCTTATGAATTACCACACTGAATCCTCACACCACAAGGGACTTGTCGTGTTTCTGTTGGCGTTTCCATTTCTTTACCACACATTAAGAGAGTATAGAGATGCTGGTTCTAGAAGCTTAGACATAGTGGTTCCAACTGGAAGTGGAAGAGCCCTTAGTGGCACTGTAGAATAAGAAACGACTGCTAAGTACAAAGTTGGTGGTTCAAACCCACCTGCTACTCTGTGGTAGAAAGCTGAGGTTTTCTGTTCCAGTAAGATTTACAGCCTTAGAAACCATACACAGGGTTGCTATGAGTTGGAATCGACTCCATGGCATTGAGGTTTGGTTTCCATAATGAGGCCTGTGTAGTCTTGGGGTGGTGCAAAATTTATATGCTCATCTGCTAAATGAAAGGCTGGAGGTTCAAGTCCATCCAAAGGCACCTAGGAAGAAAGGTTTGGAGCTCTATTTCCAAAAACAATCAGTCTCTGAAAACCATGTGGGACGTAGTTCTACTTTGACAAGCATGGGGTCATCAGGAGTCCAAAATGACTTGGTGGCAACTGATAATGAGGTCTATAACCTATTGTCAATATTTCCACAAGCCTCGTGGAAATTGGATGACTGAGCTTCTCTTGTTTGTATACATATTCAGTGATACATGTCCCATATTAAAAGAAGGAAATATGTTATTGCTTAATAAATGTAATTTGTTTAATAGAATGATGCCCAGAGGGGGAAATAAAAAGGGCCGTAGGTGGTGAGAATGATGAACCATCAGCACACAGCCATGTGTTCCAGCTGCCTGTCTGACATTCCATATTTTGCATGGGCTTAAAAAAAAGACATGACTTGTTCAATTCGGAGAATTTTCTTGGCCTGAACTTAAGCAATGACCTTCTTATCCACAAGCCTCCCCTGCCCTCCTCTGACATGTTTTACAATTTGTCTTGGGCAGGATGTGCATGGGGTTTTCAAGGGTACCACACAGGAAAAAGAACCAACTGCCTGGTGAATGTGACACTAGCCAAAAGCCTTTGCATTCAGATTCCTATATGTATCTTGCAATTGCAACTGGTGTTGGACGACGTCAATGCCCTGAAATTGTCAAGTCTTTCCTCTCTCGGTTTGAAACAAGAGCCATTTAAGTTTGGTTAGAAAGGGAACAAGAGTCTGAAGAACTAAGTTAAAATTCTGCTGTCTCCATTTATTGGTTACGAGATTCTATGGGCTCTGATCCTTCATTTCCACTTCTTTAAACACGAGGATAAAAAAACCCCCACCTAATTCATGGCACTTCTCAAAAATACAAATGGTTGGTAGGTCTGAAACTGCTTTGTAGACGACCAAGTACTTAGTGTGGCGCTTCAGGATAAAGCGCTGGACTGCAAGGTCAATTTGAACCACAAGGTCAGCCGTTCACTTCCACCAGTCACTTCTTGAAACCCTTGAGGTCACTATGAGTCAGAAACAACTTGACAACACTTAATAACAACAACAACTACTACATTT